GAGGGGGGAGGGAAAGAAAACACTGTCCATTCCGAATTGCTAAAAGCTAGGCCAAGACAGAAAACAAGCTTCTTTTTCAATTAAAAGATGGAATAGAGCTCAGTCTCCATAATTCGTTCTGAGAACATTCCAGTGGCAATGATATAACCAGTTTACTTTTTTTCATTTCATACTGTTCCTCTTTACATCAGTTTTGCTGCTTTTTACTTTGCCTGCTATAATAACACTTGAAAACTTTATTGAGATGTGCAAACTGTTACTAATGTGCTAAGAAGCATTCCTGGGACTATACATAGAATGATACACTAAATTTGGGCTCTAATGTACATTGTTTTGTCAAGTAAAAGAAAGCCCTTATAATTCAACTAATTTGAAGTTCGAGATATGTCACAATCATTTTCTATTTGTTTATCACTGGAATACATCACAGTTTTTCTCATCTTTATTGAGTTACAAGTCACATACCGTAAAATTCAAGCATTCAAAGTGTGCAGTTCAGTGCTTTTTAGTTTATTTACAGTGTCCAACCGTCACCACAATCTAAATTTAGGATATTTTCATCAGCCCCCAAAGAAACCCTGAAACCACTAGCAGTCACCCTCAGCCCCTGTTAACCCCTACTTTTGATGTTGATAGATCTGGCTGTTCTGAATATTTCATATATAGGGAATCTAATACAGTATATAAGGAACCTAATAGAAGACATAGTTTTTAATATGAAAACCCACCTGAACTTACCACCTTAGAAACGCATAATCCAACATTTCCAGTTGTCAAATCTGGACTTAGATAAGGAGAGACTTTGTTCAAAAAGACTCTTCCAGTAGGGAAAATGCTTTCATCTCAGAGATGTGCAAGAGCCTCAGAATCAAACAGAAAAGGTTTTTTCTTTTAAGTGGAATTGAATGAGCGAGGGGGTGACCACTGGGCCTGACAGGAAACGTGTTCTGCTGTTTTCTGTGTCGGCGCGGGCTCAGGCGGGGGCAAGCCAGAGCCCAGGCCCCGGGGGAGGAGACAGGGCTCACTGAAAGTTGCTCAGGACAACACAGAGGGTGAGAAATGGGCAGCTGTGGGCTCTTGGTCATTAATTCCATTGGAATTCATTTCAGTGGACTCCCTGAGTCTCAGAGATTTCCCCGAGTTTGCCTCCTGTCCATGCTGGGTGCTAAAGCAGACTTCCTACCGCTTTGTGTGACAGCACTTGCCCAAATTGTAGGACATAAAGAACAAACCTGGGGGCTAAGAACATAAAGCAGAGGACAAGCTTAAGGACTATTGAGGGGCGAGGCGGGGGGGGGGGTTCTGTAAGGATTTAGTTTAAGGGGAGGGAGGTGATTGAAAAGCTTAGCAGGATAAAAGCAGGCTTACTAACTTTTGGTCGAAGTAGTAAGTCTCGCTCAATATGAACTTCAGAACCAGCAGGTAGAACTGATCCAAGTGGCTGGTTTATTCTCAGACAACTTCACATCTAACACTGTTTTCATGTTTGGCCCGGATTCCGTGTTTGAGTTTCTATTGCATTTCCCCCGCTCTTTCCCTTAAGTCAGTTACACAAACTAGAGGCCTTTTCGCTTTCCTTAAGAGCCTGTAAGACAGGATGAGAAAGCTGCTTGTTATTGCTCTGATCTCCAAAATTCACTATAAAATGGATTCACTTCTGGCGAGTTCCTATCTGCAGATCAGATTTAAGATTATAAAAGTACTTGTGTTGCAGTAAATAGATTTATTCTCTACAGACTTCTATTTCTGATGATTTTCATTTTATTTAAAAGACAATAAATTTGCTCATGTGTTTTGCTTTTTTTGTTTTACTTCTGCTTTACCTGTTATTTCAAAATAAAGAATTGAAAGATCACAGTATTTTTTAGAAACTGAATTTAGATGATAGGCACTGGCTCTAATATAATTACTCCAACTAGCCTATAAATTCTAATGCAGCCGCTTAAGAGAAAAGCTTTCCATTTGAAAAACTGGTTTTAAAATGAACTCCAGGGCCTCTTCTTACGTAATGAGTTATTTGGAGCAACATCTCTGCAGTCTTTAGACCCAGGTTACTCATCAGTAGTCAAAGATGCTAGAAATGGAGCAGTGGTCCACCCTGGGGAGTTATAAGTGTAAGTGTAGGTGTTGGTGTGTCTGGGATCTGGAGGTGTCATGTGCTGTGGGAGTTTCTTTGGCACAATTTTATTTTCCCCATGGCTAAAGATACTTTCTGTGCTAAAGTTCTGTACAAATAGTATTTCACAAGGCTTTGAAATTTAGGTTAAGCATTCATTCTTTCATTCTAAATAAAAGCCAGTGAGTGGGGTAGAATGGCTATGGTTACCCAAAGAATCGTTTTTAAAAAAACATTTTACTGTATATTATTAACTCAGTTTCTATTAACTGCCAGTGAACATATACTTTACTTTCTCTACAGTTCATTGTGCAAGGAACATGCCTGCCTTCTTAGCTGAGAGACTGCATCAAGCTCTAAAGGTTGGTCTGGAAATTTCATATGTGTTCTTAGCTTCTCTCAAAGAAAATGTAAAAATATTGCTGTTTTGGATAGAATTTCATTCTGTGTCCACTTTGGTGAGTTCTCTTCTGTAGCTAATGCTTCTACTGATCTGTCTCATGGATGGGTCATGAGTGTCCAATCATTATAGAGACAGACACAGCGAGTGTTGACCAAGTCATCTCCCCCAGTCCACAGTGAGTGTAGGCGGTAGAACTGGTTTAGAACTCCGCACCTCAAACGGGACCCGCAGGGCCCAGTGGCCTCTCAAGCTGCCTTCCTTGAAACGAACCGAACTGAGTCAGCAGCCTTTCGGGACGGAGACCCCTGTGATTTCCCGCCTGCTGCTGCTGCGAGATGCTGAGCTCCATGAGTAGGGAAGTCGCTTTCCTCCTTTTCATGGCTTCAGACCCCTTGCCCTGGGCCCAGCCCGTAGAAGGTGCTTACTTCAATACTTTTACTGGACATTTCCTGTGGACGTCCACGTGCACCTTCCCAGTTATGTCCAACGTGAACACATCACTTCCCTCACTTCCCCTCACCTCCAACCCTGAGTCTGCTCCCCATCCTGTGTTCAGTCATCTCAGTGGGTAGCCCCAACAGGATCTGCCCTTGCCCAGCTTCTGTGGTTAAACCATCAGGATCTGCCCTTTCCAGCTTCTGTGGTTAAACCATCAGGATCTGCCCTTGCCCAGCTTCTGTGGCTAAACCATCAGGATCTGCCTTTGCCCAGCCTCTGAGGTTGTGGCGTCAGGATCTGCCCTTGCCCAGCCTCTGAGGTTGTGCCCTTCCTCCCACCCTGTCCTCCATGCCCCAGTCATGTCAGCCTTTCTGTTCCTTGACTATGCCAGGCCTCTGCCCACATCAGAGTCTTCTCTCTGCCCTAAATGTGCCTCCTCCAGATCTACCTGTGATGGGCTCCTTCTCGTCTGTCAGGTCTCTGCTCACGTGTCACCTCCTGAGAAAGGTTTTCCCTGATTACTCAGGTCCATTAGCTCCCTTTTAGTCACTCTCCATTCCACAGTTCTCATTACTATTTATTTAAGCAAGTTGTTAATTTTCTCGACTGGCCATCTCCATTCACTGGAATGTAAACTCTACGAGGCTAGAGGCATGGTCTGTGTTGCTCACTACCATGGGCACAGTACATAGGACAACGCCCGGCATATAGTAGATGCTCAGTAAGCATTTGTTGAATAAATGAAGTGTGTCAGTATCCACTTCACCGCTCAGGAATTTTGCACTGCTCCCTCCTTCATTCTCTTCAAACGATACATCAAGTGTTGTCATCTGTCTTCATAAGCGTCTCTCCATTCGACCCATTTCTCCGTCCGTACTGCCATTTTTCTAGGTCGGGCCCCCCCCCCTTTTTGTATCAGCGCAGCCGCCGCTGGCTGAGTCCCCAAGCCTGTGGCCGACTCCGTTACCTCCACCCGCTCCTGCCCTGCGCTCCGTTCCTCCCCTGCGGTCCCAGCGATCTTCTGAGGCCGCAGATCCAGTCTGACCTCAGCGCTCGCCTGTTTGACAGATTGCAGTAGCTCTTCGCTCTTGGAATAAAGCTGAAACTTCATTTCAGGGTTTACGAGGTCCTGCCTTTCCAGACACATCTCTTGCTGTTCCTCCCCACTGCTTGTGTGTCCTCAGGTGGCACCCTTTCTTCCCCAGACCTTCCCACCTGCTGTTTTCTCCATTGCAACGTGTGGTGTTGGGTTTTTTCTTTGAACCACACCCCTTCTTCTGGCTGGTTATTTACGCTTCCACTTAAATACCCCTTTCTCAGACAGACCTTTCCAGATCTTTAATCTATTTAGACTCCCCCAATATATGTGCCCATAGTGCCCACTATTTCTTACATGTCACATCATATTGTAATGGCCTGTTTTCTTCCCTGTATCCTTTACAAAATTGGAAGCTTAACGGGGTATCCCATCTCTGTCTTTAGCATTTGGCATGGTGTTGGCACAGAGTAGGCTCTCGGTAAGTATTTCTTGAACAAATGAGTGATGAGGTTTGAGGTTAAACGAGTGAAGAGTCACCATGGGGGACTATTTTGTGCACCGTTATCTATTTCTTATAAATATAGGTCTATAGGCTGTTCTGTGGCTGGTGAGATTTATACTGTGGACACCTGCTTTCTTAACAGGGCGCTGGAACTGATGAGTTTACTCTGAACCGAATAATGGTTTCCAGGTCAGAAATTGACCTTTTGGACATTCGAGCAGAGTTTAAGAAGCGCTGTGGCTACTCCCTGCATTCAGCAATTAAAGTAAGTCTCCTCTTAAAATTAGCAAAACACATGTTGCCTTTCTTCTCCCCATTTTCTTTCCCTTAGATCCTTAGGAGATGGAGATATGTGACTTAGATTTCTCCCTGTCAGTGTGTAAATGGGTAGTAATAAAACAGCCCTTAACGAAGGAGACTATTTTTCAGCTCTAGAATCTCAGGCACATGATAGATGCTCAACATTTTTTTTCTTTTTGGTTTAACAGCCACTGACATTTCTTCTTTTGGGAATTGCGTATGTAAGTTGTTTACCTATTTTTTACATTGCAGTGTTTTTACTTATTTCTTTATGAAAATGACAGGAAAGAAAAATACATTTCCTCTTTGTTTCACACGAAAAGATAGCATGGTTCTGCAGCGTGGAGTTCTTTCCATTTCAGAATGTCGGAAGCTTTTTCATTCTTTTAAATAGCTGCGTATCATTCCATTGTTCGTTATTTATACCCACCGTATCAGCAGATGTTTCCAGTTTCTTGCTGTTGCAAACAATGCCGCAGTATGAATAGACAGTTTCCTAAGGTACAAGGGTATCTGTGGGATAAATGCGAGCACAGTTTTTTCTGTGCTGAATTCTCAGAAGTGGGTAGGATTGCTGAGACAGATGTGAATATATTCGTAACTGGTAAATATTACCAACTGACTTCCATCTGCTCTTCCAAGAAGAATATATAAATCCTTGTTTCTCCACACCTTTGGCACAGAGGGTCTTTTCTCAAGCTTTGCGTTTTTAAAATCTGATAGGGGAGAAATTGTATCTCAGTGTAGAATATACATTTTTCTTACTATGAGTGAGGCCTAACATGTTTTCATGTTTTTAAATGCCATTTGCACTTCCTTTTTGGTAATTTTTTTATATTCTTTGTCTATTATCCTGTTGATATTTGGGGTTTTAATTTTGGGGCGGTCAATTTCTAAGACCTCTTTTCATGTAAGTTAGATTCATCTTTTGTCTATAAATTGTAAATGTTTTCCCCAGTTTGATATTTTTCCTTTGACATGACTGAAGGTGTTTTTCCATACCGTTTGGCATCCAATTCAATTTATCAATCTTTTTTTAATAGTTTCTTGAGTTAAAAAGTTGATTCCTTACAGTCTTATCATTCTGAATGAGAATCCTCCTAAAATGTGTTACACAACTTCCTTTCAGTTGTAAAGAATGAAACCAGTTTCCATTGTTCTCAGATCTCAGTTGATATTTTTTATATATGGAAACCCCAAATAAATTACAAATTACTAGAATTAATAAGGAAGTAAGACTCGCAAAAATTGTGTAAGAGGCTTCCATACATTGAGCTAATGGTTCAAAAGTCATAGTCCTAATAAGAACATGACAACGTGGAAATAATGAACTAGGGGGCTAGCCCCCACTGAAGATCGTTTTCTGCGTCAGCCTCCCCGATGGCACACAGGTCCGCAGACAGTGAGCTGTAGAGTTATCCAAGCTGGGTCCCAGGAACAAAGTGCACCCGGGTTGTAGAGGGAGCCATCCGACGGCACCAGCCTCCAGAGCCACTGCCTCGGTGAAAAGGGGAGTCCAGGGCTGGTTGCACAGACGCCCCGCAGGCCCTTCTATGCCTCAGCCTCCACCCTACAGCTGGGGAGAAAATCAGCTTTGAAGAGAGTTAGGCCCAGTGTAGATAGAGTCCCTGAGGCAGGAGCTCAGAGGTGGGGCCCCGAGGACAAACCTAGCCTGGGAGAAGGGCACGTTTGCTCTGAGCACTCATGGTGCATAGTTGGGTGTGGAGTCTGAGCTGTCCAGACATCTGGGCCCCAGCTACAGGATCATTTTATACACCCTGTGGATTCTGATCTTGGGACCGACTCTGATCAAGCCCCTACAAGGCTGGAGTTCCATGCTACGCAGCAGATCCAGCCATGGCCACCAGGGGCTCCTCCATTCAGCCTGTATTCCTGAGTCACCCCAGACAGCTGAAGCCTTTGAGGTGGCCCTGCCCACGACAGCCACCCTTGACCACATATTGGCCTGGGCCTTTGGGCAGCTATCTTGAGAACTTTCCAGCCTCAGGCTCCACAAATGGTTTTATAATGGATGAATGAATGAATATCACTCAGTTAACTAGAGTCATAAACCAACCCCCCCACCCATCCCCCCCTCCAACAGAGCTTTTGTTTTTATACTAAACCTTTGCAGAAAGAGATGCATGCCTAAGTTACTTACTCAAAAAGGCAACTCTCAGGCTGTGCCTGCGGCTGAGCACAGATTCCTCCACTGCTCACAATGCAATTTGAATTGATCTTGACACATTACAATAGTTTCAATCAGCAGAGGAAGATTCAATAATGTGAACCATATTGTTCTTACTAAGGCAGAAAAGTAGACGTATACCTTTTATAAAGATTGTCAGTAACAAGATTGAAACATAAAGAGGGCTTTCGGTTCACCCTCGGCAAACCAGAAAATTAAATTAACCGGTAGCTCTCCCTCCCGCAGCGGTCTGGGTAATCGAGGCTTATTGTATTAGGAAACATTTAAACTACGAGTATCTTGATAGAAAAGAAAAATCCATTGCTGAAGACTTTATTTTATAATTTAAAATTATATAAGGTTTCTTCGTTTCTACCACCTAAAAGTACAGTATTAAGCAATTACTACCTGTTCCCTGCGGATGAATAAGATCCTTTCCGACGGTCAGTGTCTGTCATTCAGGACCTAGAGTTCCATTTTGTATATTGTGGGGGAGGAAGAAACTTCTCCCTTCAAGTCTCTTTCACCTGGTCTAATAATTAAATCTGCACAAGACAGATTAACAAGAGAAAGTAACCAAATGTAATTGCATGCATGTGCATGGCAACCCCACGTACATGAGAGTCAGAGATCTCACATACATGAGAGGTTCAGGGACAGAAAGGTGTCCGTGACCTACCTCCTGGTCACATATGGGGTGAGAGGCCGTGGGCTTCAGAGGGTCGCTGCAGGGCGATCGGAAGAGCAGATGTTGCGTGATCTGTAGTTTGCCTGCCATACGGCTAGGTCCAAAAAGGTCATTTCTGATAACCTGTTGTTGTGGGCAAGGTCCCAAATCAAATATTCTGGGCAGTTGTGTGGGGAAGACAGAAGCTTCTTTGAGCCACAGGGTCTCTGTTGCCTTTAGTGTAAAATAACCTGTGTATCACAGAGCACAGCTTGGGCTGACTCGTTCCGAACCCTGCAGCTTCAGCCTGGCCTTCAGTGCTGCCTTCTTCCTTCTGCCTGGTGCCTAGACATTTCCCTGCTCATTGCACCTTTCTCAGGTGATGGTCGGTGGGAAGAAGGAGAGAAAGATGTGGGTGGAACATGTGTATCTCTTATTAATNTGGTGGGAAGAAGGAGAGAAAGATGTGGAGATGTGGGTGGAACATGTGTATCTCTTATTAATTAATCATAAGATATTAATAGAATATTAGGATGAAATTGCATTTTTGGTAGATTTCCTTGATCAACAAGTTAAGTACGTATTTAACAAATAGCCCAGTTCCAGACTCTTTAAGGGAAAACATCACAGTAGTCACCTTCAATTTGTAATCTCTGTGAAGTGAGGTGGGCATAAATAAAATAATTAAAGGATAATAATATGAAACAACATACAATTAATTGCTTGATTGTAAGGTACGGAGGATAGCAATGTAAGAATTTAGAGTAAAAGAAGTTGGGGATTAGAGAGGGACGTGGGTTTGAGCCCGCCTTTCAGGTGCATAAGCGTGTGTTGAGTGCCTCCTGTGGGCCAGGTGTATGCTGGTCAGTGGTGTCTCACAGGTGAATGCTCTGGAAACATATGTGTGGTGAGAAGTAGGAGGGAAAGAAGTAGTAAGTCACTTGATTGATTAGAAGGTCTGCCTTGGGGAGTACGGAAAAATACAATCCAAATGGCAAGATGAATTCAGGTGGAAGAGCTCTGAGATCAATTTATGTTGCACTTATTCAATTAAAGATATTTAATGCATGAAAATTATGTGCCAACCTCAGGGTTACAATTACAGACAAAGTTTTCTGTCGTTATGGAATTACAAATAAATGTAAACTGTGTTTGTACAACTATGTTAAATGTAAGGGAAAGAAATATTATGCTAGAAGATCGTATAATGGGAGGATTTGACCTATAGGAAGTTATGATTCAGATCTGAAAGTGCGTAGACAAGGCAGAGGCGTGGGTGTCGGGAGAAAGCGGAGCCTTCTGACAACAGGAACTGCAAGGGGAAGGCCCTCGTGGTGCAGGAAGAGTAACGAGGAATGAGCTGGAGGGGCCGGTCACACCAGGCCTTTCTGACCGTGTTTAAAGATTTCGTTTTTAGCGTCAGAGCCACGGGAAGCTACTGAAGAATTTAGTTGTAAGCACGCGGTGTCATAATTAGAAGTACATTTAAAAAAGATCCCTGAGACTGGAAAATGAGTTGGCCAGAAGATGGGAGAGAGTGTGGGGCGCTATGTTATTAGTCCTTTAGAGTGGCCACGACTGGGTAGTGAAGGTAGTAAGCAAGCTACTGGCAACGAAAGAAGAAAGAAGCAAAGACTCAGAAGATATTTCGGAGTTAAAATGAAGGCACTTGGTGTGAGGAGCAAGGAAGAGAGATGTTAAGGCCGACTCCTAGGTCCTTAACTTGGGAACAGCTGTGCCATTCGCTGCGCGAGTCAGGCTTTAGGTGTTTGGGGGTTTTGTGGGCTTTTTTGTGCTGTTGTTTTCCGGGAGGAGGGGAGAAAGTGCATGAATTTGGTTTTGCACGCGTTGAGTTTGAGACGCCTTTGAGGTGTAAATGGAGATGTCAGGTCAGTGGCCAGTGGCGCGAGACCTATTTTCAGGGTCAGTTATGTTACCAAGTCCTTGTGCGTGGATGGAAATCCTCTAGGGAGAGAACACGGATCGAGAAGAGAAGAAAGCTGAGAGCTGAGACTTATGCGTTGCCAACAGTTAGTGCTGGAGGGGAGGCCAAGGTGGGGACACTGGGGAGGGAGGCGAAGGGCCAGGGCCCCCTCAGGAACAGCCAGGGCCCCCTCAGGAACCGCCAGGGCCCCCTCAGGAACCACCAGGGCCCCCTCAGGAACAGCCAGGGCCCCCTCAGGAACAGCCAGGACCGCCTCAGGAACAGCCAGGGCCCCCTCAGGAACCGCCAGGGCCCCCTCAGGAACAGCCAGGCTGCTCACTTGTGGGGGTGGCTGGGCTGGATCTACAGAGCGGGAAGGATCGACAGCTTCAGAAANCTGCTCGCTTGTGGGGGTGGCTGGGCTGGATCTACAGAGCGGGAAGGATCGACAGCTTCAGAAACAGACCCATGAATCTAGCCGGGGAATCTAGTGACCGGGAATGAGAGCCCAGAGTGCATTGGTTGTGGTCAGAATGGAAATGGAATAACTTAAAAAACACCACAAAGAAGTAATTGGACTAAACATAAAGGGTAAAAGATGGGATCAAAGTCGGGAGGAGAGAGAAGCACCGTTAAAAACAGCCCAACAGAAACATTTAGTGAGTTCCTTAAGAACAATTAATACGGCCCAATTAGGAAAGCATGAATTATGTTCAAAGGTTTGGGAATTACACTAACTTTTTTGTGATGAAATTTCTAAGATGCCGTATAAATAGCTACTTTACTAGAGGACATAAGGGAATAGAGGCAGGCGGGAAGGGTGGCTTTTTGTTTAGTGTCTCCAGTGGACCCGAATGTTAAATATAGCTGTGTGTTAAGCTCCTTGCATGTATTTTCTCAACTAACTGATCGAACCCCTAATAATTTTTAAAACTGATGACTAGAGGGAGCTGTTTTAACAGAGGTGGAGCATTGTTGACGTGTTAGCAGTTTGAGAAATTATTACATACGGCAGAACAAGACTTAGGAAAACTGATAGGGCAAGAACCCAAAACTGTATAAAACAGAAGAATGTATGCTAATGCCTGTTGTGTCCCATAAAAGTGATGCTTCACTTCTTTTTGGGTGGCCCTTCATTGCTTTCTTCACATTGCCACTTACTTAATATTCACCCCAATGTGAAACTTAAGTGATAAGAAATGCTCGCCACTTGAGTTGCCTTGAATAAAATAAGAATAATGTGAGGATTTTAGGTAACTTAGGTTCAAAGCCATGCTATACAGAAAGTTTTTACCTCTTTTGCATAGTAAACGTAGCATCTTAGTCCTTTAAGCCTCAATCTCACGTGGTATCTTTTCTGAGCAAATATCTTTTGGGCTAGTCTAGGGGCAAGGAATTTAGACATATACTCTTTGGGGATGTAGTTCCTTTCACTTTCTGAAGTATAGCATGGTGTTAAGGAGCCAGGAAACCTGGCTTCAAATCCTGCTTCTGTCACTTATTGTATGATTTGGCACAAGGTTCCTAACCTCTCTTTTTCTCATCTTACTTATGTGTTAAATGGAGATACTCATGGTACCTGCTGCTTAAAGTTCTTCTAAGGGTTAAAGTAATTAACTCTTAATATTAGTAAATATATATTATTAAAACTATAATTTTAAAATTTTTGTTAAAAATTAATATTATGTAATATTATGTAATTGATGAAGTCTTATTTTATTAAACCCAAATTGAAATTTACTTGCAATATATCAGGAAGAATTTAAACATTATATATCATGAAGAAGATGCTAGGCTGGAAAATAACTACACTCAGGCATGAATGAATGATGGAATTTTGGGCACATTTTGCTAAGTGCTATGGGATTCGATTCCTCTGTGGCCTCCTTCTTATTTATGCTGTACCTGTCTTCTCTCCATCCTGTTCTTTGCAGTCAGATACTTCTGGAGACTACGAAGCCGCCCTGTTAAAGCTCTGCGGGGGAGATGACTGAGCCGAGAACATCACCTGCAAAGGTGGCCTGCTCCCATGATGGGCTTTTCCAACAGCCCTGCTTCCTTCTTTCTCACGCTATTTAAAAGCACAAGCAAGTACAAACAGCAACCTGTCTTCCTAACAAAGTTTCACTGTTCCCTAACAACAACAACACGATTATGCTAGAGCATCTCATCATAATGCAGTAGTTTATAATGAAAATTTAAAATGATGTGATGAATCTCCTAATACTATCTAAATTATATTTCTGTTTAGGAAGTGAGAATCTTTGTAGAGTTCCAAAACATGAAATGCAAAGCAGGGTAATAAAAGTTGTTGCTCTTCTTAAACTGTCTGTTTTTAGCTTTTACCGACGTTGCTGGTACCTGGTGCCAACAACTAATGATATTTTATAACATACTTTTGTTACAGAAGCTGTTGCTGCTTCAGTCTAGTGCCTTATTAATCACACTCATCTTTAAGCAAAGGAATAAAGATGAAGATGTGTGTGATCCCGCCCCCCGTTCTAGTCACGATCAAGCTATAGAGCGGCAACGCGTGATGGGTTAATTTAGTCCTCAGAAAACATCCGCTGAACTGCCAGTCTAACCACTTCCTGCCTGAATGGCAAGCATGAATTGGGGCTGTTTTATGATAAATAAATGGGTATTTAGAATCAGGAATAATTTGTAAAGTGGGGTAGTAAGCCTTTCCTGACAGTTGTACCAGGTTGTTGTAATGAGCAGGGGAAATAATTAGAAGTACCTTGAAAAGTATTGAATGTTACTCAAATATGATGTAGAACTGTAGAGTTTATATAAATCAAATTGATTATGACCCTTGAATAATATACTGTAATAATAATATGACCTAGGCTAACATTTGTTCAGGGCTTACCATAGGATATATACTATGCTGAATACCTTTTTAAATAGCTTTTTCATTCTAAAAAAACAACTATGAGGTAGAAACTATTGTTGCCATTTTAAAGAATAATTAATTTTGTCATCTGTATGAATAGAGGACTTACTATGTGCTGAGACTGTACTAGATATTTTAGATTTCATTTATTCTCAGAGTTGTTATACTATTTATCTGCCTTAACTGCTTTAAAATAAAACATGGTTGTATGCGCCAATATTATCCCCATTTTACAGATGAGGAAAACGAGGCTCAGAAAGGTTAGGTTACTAGTCCAAGGTTGCAGAGCAGAAAAGCCAAGGTTTAGAATCCAGGTGAGTTTGTATCTGTGCCTGAGTAAGTGGGAGGAGGGTGAGAATGGAGGAATTGATGATCACTTGAGAGGACCCTCCAAAGAGAAAGCAGCATTAAAATAATAAAAAAAGGCTCTAAGGAAATCTCTCCTCCAGGCTTTTTATTCTCATTCTTCTTGCATCGTAGGCATTGGACCAGCTAGTAGCTGCTAAAAGTATATCTTTTTTGTTGTTTTTAATTTATCTTTATTGTTGAAAGTATTACAGATGTCTCCTTTATTCCCCCATTAACCCCCTCCACCCTCCCATCCACCCCACCCCCACGCCTTCCCCATAACAATGTCTGTGTCCATGGGTTATGCTTATAGGCATATAAGTTCTTTGATTAATCTC